GGGCTTTCGAATGGTGTATGAATTATTTGTGTTGTTATTACAAGTGTTGCTGTGACCCCCTAGGAAAAGGTTATGCCCCGCCCTGTATATATATGTTTGTACGCTCTCTTGGCCCCCGCCTTCCTGTTCCTGTGTAAGGGTAGGTATCCTGATTGGTTGTCAGACTCCCATGGGGCCATGCAGGAGTAACGATGTAATGAGAGTTTTGGGCAATTCCTATTATGGCTGAGGGCTAATCCTACCTTTGTTGGATCTTGGGTAAAGGTATTTGCTTATGCATAGACCTAACTATCTCTTTATCTCTTAAGTGCTGACATCTGCTGTGGGCTATTGAGGAGGGTGGAGGCTTTTAAGAGTGAGTCTGCTTCCTGCCTAAAAAAAACATGTTTCTCCATTTTTCATCCAGGGAAATATAATATTCTCCCTTTTTAATATTTCTTATAATATTTCCTTCTAGGAGAGGGGTGGGTGCTAACATTCTACATTGTACATGTGTCAAATGTTGCTTGGAAGGAATATGATTGCATTGCTGTGATTACCATCTGGACTTTTTTTTTTTTTTGATAGTCTCACAAATCTCCCAGGAAGGGAAGATTGTTATGTGACAAGCCAGAGCAGTTACAGAGTGAATGGAGGGGAGGGAGGAAGACTGCACGATCCAACATAAACAAATTTGCATTTGACTTGTTTTATCACACAAAATCAAGTCATCTATTCTTAGTGTAGCTTTTTTGAGAAGTTCTTTGTGATGCCTTTCTGTCAATCTTAACTCCAGCAACTGTCAGGACAAGTCTCTGTGGTTTTTCTGGAAAGATTTTGGAAGTAGCTTGCTCCTGTCTCCACCTCCCTCCCTGGGCTAAGAGAAAGTGGCTGGCCCAAGGTCACCCAGTTGGCTTTCTAAGGCAGAACTAGAATTCACAGTCTCCCAGTTTTTAGCCTGATGTCTTAACATTTATTTATTTATTCATTCATTCATTCATTCATTCATTCATTCATTCATTCATTCATTCATTCATTCATTCATTCATTCAGTGCTTATCCAGACCTGGGTAAATTACCCAAAATTGGGTGAAAATTATTTTTCTTTGGATAATGATATAAGAACCCTATTACCCTATTCCAATGATGGCAAACCTAAAGCACTCGTGCCAGAGGTGGCATGCAGAGCCCTCTCTGTGGGCACGCGAACCAGCCAGCTACTCTCTTCTGGGTTATGACGCTCCAGCACCCCCGTGTTCCATTTTCGACACTCGGTGCCGAAAAGGTTAGCTGTCACTGCCCTATTCCAACAGAGAAATTTAAATTCATGGCAGTCAGCAGAATTAGCCTATAATCCTGCATTCTAACCACTGTGCCACCACAGCTCTAATAAAGGGGTGGTATTCACTTACCTTCGCTACCAGTTCACAAATGTGAATGTGCGTGCCCTGCCAAGCTCCATTTTCGCTAGCAGAAGCACTACAGGCCAATCCTTGACTTTTCCCAAGGTGGCCCATTGGGCCAAATCTAAGGCCCCTATGCCTTGAGTTTGTCACCCCTGGTGTAGGGTCTCCTGCTTGGGTGGGGTGGGGGTGGGGTTGAACTAGATGGCCTACAAGGTCCCTTCCAACTCTTAATCTAATCTAAAACCAGCCTATCTTGAATTCCATTAACTCTTATCTATTGTCAATTTGCTTTGACTGTTGGTAGTTCAGATTCTTGTATAAAATCTGCATGCAATCTATATGCAATCTATGCAATAAAGAGAATCTAACCAAAATTGATGATTGAGTAGAGGAAGAGGGAAAAGGAGAGGGAAAAGAGGGCGGGGGAAGAAGGCAGAAAGAAAAGAAAGAAAGAAAGAAAGAAAGAAAGAAAGAAAGAAAGAAAGAAAGAAAGAAAGAAAGAAAGAAAACTGGAGAAAGTTACGAGTGAGAGAAGAAAGTGGGAATTCTGGAAAATAACTAAATTAGGGATCCAATTCTTTAAAAAAATGACAAATGTTACAAATCTAACGAAAATTGGCACGGAGAGGAAGCCAGCATCCCAGCCGTCTCTAGCGGCCGCTAGCCCTTTGAATCAAAGATCCGCTGATGATATGCTCCAGAGAGAAAGATCTAATTCAACCAAGGAGCTTTAGATGAACAGGTTATGCAAGAGACAATGACTAAATCCACAAAGAATTGAAAAAGGATATCAGAGAAATAAGAAATGATATTGGAGAACTAAAGGAGGGGATGCAGAAGATGGATGATAAATTTGAAAAGTTCCAAGACCAGATTAAGAAAAGTATAAAGTAAGTCTTTATAAGGTGTTCTACAGTTGGCATCTCCCCCCAGCACGGCTCTCCAAAATGTTTAAAAATCTGACCCCAAATTGTTGGAAGTGTAAAAAAAACACCAGGCACTTTTTATCAACTCAGCCTTCCATCCTTCCGAGGTGGGTGAAATGAGGACCCAGATTGTGAGGGCAAGTTGCTGACTCAATTTGCTAAAAAAAATTGTAAACTGCTTAGAGAGGGCTGAAAGCCCTATGAAGCGGTATATAAGTCAAATAAATAAATAAATAAATATGTGGTGGAAGTGCAATGAGGCAAAAAAATATTGGAAAATGATTCAATCATGGTTAGAACAAATGGTAAGAGGCCAAATTCTGTTTAAACCAGAAATTTTTCTCCTAGGTATAATACCAGAAGGGTTTAAGAAAGATAATACTTTATCTAATTATACATATACTAACTCTGGTGCGCATAACTTATGCACAATATTGGAAAAAAGAAAAATATTGGACACCATCAGAGTTAGATATAATCGGAAAAGTGTTGACCTGTGCAGAAGCAGATATGCTCATTCTTGAACTTAAAAATAAAGGGAAATCAGAATATTTTGAACTCGATTGGTTTAAGACAAGGTGACAAGACTGGAATAAACTGTATATATTGTGATTAGACAGAAGGATAGACAATGTATTACATAAGCTAATAGTTAATGGTTGAGACTAGTTGTACATAATGTGAATGTATGGTCACTTCGACTTCGTGGTACTGCATTGTTTTAAATGTAAAAATAATAAAAATCTATTCCCCCTCCCCCCAAAAAAAGAATTTACGTGCAATCATGCAGTAAACCTATATTCATTTTAATCACCTTGGCTTGTCATTTTCTGCACTTAACACTAGCTGTTTTTACAGGTTAACTCACTTGGTTTCCTTAAACCCTGGAATTGCAGTTTAAATGCGGTAGATTAATATTAGCTTTTCGAACTATGTTGTCAGAATTGTAGTTAATTGTGAGCTCTATGATTTGTCCATTTTGATTTTCTTTTTCCAGTTTTAAGCACAAAACCATATCTACCATGCCTTCCCATTGAAAGTGCTGCCTGCCCTGATTCCTGGATTGGATATAGAAGGAAATGTTTCTATGTATCAAAAGAAGAAAGGAATTGGTCTCTCAGTTTAAACACCTGTTCTTCACTTAATGCATCCTTGGCTGTGTTTGATACACAGAAGGAATTGGTAAGGAATCTTTAGACATCATTGTTAATTGGACAATTGTCCTGGCATTCATATGTATAAAAAGTAGTCCTATTGTATTTATTGTTACTATTTGTATACTAGTAAAATTCTCATTCTGTTTGTCTGTTTATAAACTCAAGGTACCCAAATGATATATTATATTGCAACAGTATTTGAATCAAAATACTTAAAATCAGCTAACTTAAAGAATGGGTAAAAAAAACACCTGTAGCCATTGATCATGATGAAGTTATCCATTCAGTCCTGTTCGACTTTTGGCAATTCTATGGGCCAGGTCTCTACATCTTCCAGTCTTGCATTTTTCTTTGAATTTTTCTATGTTCTAGCTGGTGTCAGCTTTGGTGGTGTCCAGCCACCATATTCTTAGACAGCATAATTTCCTTTTACTGCTAACTCTTCCACACATAATTGCTTTCTCCAGCAAATTCTCACACATGACATGACCAAAGAAGGTGAGATGCAGTTTCGTGATCTTGCCTTCCAGTGACATGTCTGGTGTTGTGCGCTCCAATACATGCTTGTTAGTCACCTTGTTTGCCCAAGGAATATTCAGGAGCCTTCTCCAGCATCACAGCTCAAAAGTTTATTTTCTTCCTGTCTTGCTTTATTAATGTCCAACTTTCACAACCATAGGTAGCTACAGGGAACACAACAGAAGAGACTAATCTATATTTGGCTGCCAAATGGCCGATGTCTTTGTTTTTCCATATTTGGAATGTCATGTTCATCATTGCTATGTGGCTCAGTGCAATCCCATGTTTTATTTCTAGGCTACCTTCACGTCTTTGAGAAATCTGTGATCCAAGAAAACTGAATTTTCCCATACATTCTATCACTTCACCTTCAATTTCTATTTCGGTGTTTGCATTCCTTGCAGTGGATCATGAACTTGGTCTTTTTGATGTTCAGAAAGAGACCAAAATTCTCACTTTCATCTTTGATTTTCTTGATCAGATGTTCCAGACCTCCTTTGGTTTCTGAGAGGAGAGTTGTATCGTCAGCATGTTGAAGAACGTTGATCTTTCTTCCACCAATCTTTACCCTGATTGTTGATGCTTCAAGGTCTAGCTTCCTCATGATCATTTCAGGCATACAGGTTAAATGAGAAAGGGAGTCATTACTCCTGTGGAGTTGAAATGTCTACAATGTTCAGACCAGTTTTATTTGCAAAGTTATAGCTTCTGCAGCATTCCCATAGTCACGTGATTGTGGTTTCCACTACTCCCTGCCAAATTCCCATAAGCAAAATCAATGGGGAAGCCAGAAGGAGTTGGAAGTCTCTACCAGTATCACTGCCTTTTTGCTATTTCATGGTTACTCTGATTAATCTATTTAACTGAATAACTATTGATTTATTGTTGAAGTTCATTTGCCAGTATAATTATTTTTCCATTTAAGATATATAACCTGCTTGATGATAATGATGTAACCATCCAGCATTGGAGTAAAAAAAAGATGGTCAGCGTAAAATTTGATGTTCTTGTCCCATCAGACTGTACTACCTTTCTGTGAAAGAATGATACAATGAGCCACAGGGTTCTCGATGTTGTTGTTGTTGTTTCTTTTATTCATTAAGCATGAAACTCAGTCAACTGAACATTTAAAGATGTGTCACAAATTTCATTGACTGTGCTAATGTTATGGGTTGCTGCCAGCGTCCTAGGTATTAACCAGGTATCGTCTTAAAATATATGATATTCCTAGTAACACAGTTTTTTGCAGTTCCGCTGGTGTTATTGCAGAAAGCTGCAGTTTATTGTTGTGTTTTGTAAAATTCTTGGACATGGTACCAAGTGCCACGGTGACAATGGGTGTCATTGTTACATGCTTCATCCATTGCCGTGTAGTTTCGATGGCCAGGTCGCGATATTTTGTTATTTCTTCTAGTTCTTTTTCTTTGACTCTGGCATCTCCTGGTACAGCAATATCAATAAACTGTATGCTTTCGACCCTCTACAACGTGTTGTGTTCCAAATGGCGATCCGTCTGTATTCGAAAGTCCCACAAGATCTTCACCTTCTCATATTCGGTAACTTTTTCTACTTTGTGCCCCCATTGTTGTTGTTGTTGTTGTTGTTATTATTTACATCTGCCAGTTCTATCAGTGTAGTATTTATGTGGCTCCAAGCATTGTGGCCTATTGTAATTGACAAATTGATATTTTTTTGAATCTGTGGATTTTCTAAGTGCCCTCAAAGATTTTTGGGTAAGGTACTCAGTGCTCCAATGACCACAGAGACCATCATGCCTGGTTTATGCCATAAACTTATAATTTCAGTATTCAGATCTTATACTTTCTGATCTTCTCCATTTTTTTCTTCTATTCTATGATCTCCTGGTATTGCCCCATAAATTATCCACACTTTCTTCTTTTCAATCACAGTTAAATCTAGTATGTTAGGAGCCAAGACTTTTATCAGTTTTTATTTGGAGATGCTTCAATATTTTAATCTGCTCATTTTCAAGTACTTTTATGTTCCCACCAAATTTTCATTAGTATCACGCAATAATTTTTACACATGTTCTAGTGAGTCATTTGGCTAATGTGTTATATCATTGTTTATAATCTATTTTGCACAATCGTCTTGTACACGTGAGTATATATGATCCACTGTTTCTTTTGCCTCTTTCCACAACATGCACTTTAAATTGTTTGATGATTTTTCAGTTCTGGCCTTGATTGCATTAGTCTGAATAGCTTGCTCTTGAGCAGCCAAAATCAAACCTTCAGTTTCTTTTTCAGTTCAGATAAGCCATTGCCCGGTTTCATCTTTCTCCACTTTCCCTTTGATTTTTGATAGAAATTGACTATGTAATGCTTTTCCTAGCCAGCATTCTGTTTGTGTGTTTATTACATTATTTTGAGATTCATCTTTTATTTCCTGAACATTCTTAAGTTCCAATTTTTAAACTTGTATCAGAGTATATTCCTGGCTGTCTGTTATGTAATCAACCAGTGTATTCTTTTCTTCTTTGGTAGATTGACTTGAAATCTGTCTCTATTTCTGCAGGATAGGTATAAATCTTATATCACTAAGAGGGTATAATGCATAGTGAATTGTCATTAGCTTTCTTCTGTCCAATTCAGCTTTTGTGCAATTAATACTTCCAGCAATATATCATATCACAGGTGGTGCCCAGTCTTGTTGTACAAGTTGAATATATGATTGACTGCTTCTTCTGTCTCTTTGTATAATTGTCATTGGACAATTTTTCAATTCTGGCCTTGATTGGATTAGTTCAAATAGCCTGCACAGTTCTAATCAGGGGTGAAATGCTACCAGTTTGGGCCGATTTGCCCAAATCGGTAGTAAAAAAATGCTGTAAAAAAAGTAAAAAAAAACCATTCTGACAATCAGCTGTGTGACAGTCAGCTGTGCCTGATTGTCTATGAGGTTCCTGCTTGTTGGAGGGGCCATTTTGTGTGAAGTCCAGCTGTGTTGTTCATCTGATCTACCTACTTTTAAGAACTGCTCAGGACTAGATGATTTTTATTATGTGCTGATGTGCAAAGCCATAGGCCTCAGAGGGTGTAGTTACTTTTTCATATGACTGTTTACATCAATTTAATTAACATGTTAATATTACCTTAATGTTATGTTCTTGTACAAATAAAATAATTTGACACAAATGCATTTTAGCATTAAACAGAAAAATAACAGACTTTCTCCAATTAGTGTACTAAATGACTATTTAGTATAATTTTTTTCCCTTTTAGGATTTTTGGGTGGAAATTTTCAGTCCCTTGCATTATTGGTTTGGTCTCTCAAGAGAAATTAGCCAGGTCTGGAAATGGTTCGATGGTACAGAGTTTAAAAACCAGTAAGTATGTTGCATTTATTTATTTGTTTGTTTATAGGACTTACAGAGCTATTTTCCTTTGTGAAGCCTTTATAAACCTTACACTTTAGCTTGAGCACCTAAAAAAATAATAAGAATTAAGATGCTTTTTGGCTAAGCTTCTTTCCCCAAAAAATAAATAGCAATAGCAATAGCAGTAGACTTATATACCGCTTCATAGGCCTTTCAGGCCTCTCTAAGCGGTTTACAGAGAGTCAGCATATTGCCCCCAACAATCTGGGTCCTCATTTTACCCACCTCGGAAGGATGGAAGGCTGAGTCAACCCTGAGCCGGTGAGATTTGAACCGCTGACCTGCTGATCTAGCAGTAGCCTGCAGTGCTGCATTTAACCACTGCGCCACCTTGGCGCAGAAATAGGAAGGAAAAAAAGAGAAAATTGTTTGGGCAATAGAATATAATATCTGCTGATCTCCGCACTGCAACATCACAGCTGGCCAGATGTTCAGAATGACTAAGATGATACACTACCTTTAAGAGCAGATGGGTCTGGTGCCAATTCTGATATTTTTGTAAGCAGGGCGGAACAGCCCAGTTGGTTATAAAATTGGACCCCTGATCTAGGTTTTCATGAAATGGCAAATGTGAGTGTACATATTAAGAATCAAGTGTATATATTAGTGAAGTATCAACCACCCCTAATCTGATTCATATACTGCTCTATTAACAAGGTAAGAGTGAAATGGCAAATGTTAAAGATCAATTGTGTATATTTGTGATCTATCAACTATTCCTGATCTGATTCATATACATCATTCAGAAACTTGACTCAGCCTTCTTTGGAAAGGATGTTTATTTGAACTTCAACCAAATCATCAAATCAGAACAATTTGGCAATTGGATTGAGAAAAGGTATTTGATTTAGAGATTTGATCAAATGGCCTTCAAATTGAATGATTTAATCAAATAATAAAAGAGAGAAACCGGTAATATTCAGAGGGATAGTTCCTAGTGTTAAAATCCAGTGTGTGAATGTAATTGCTCACAATTCTGCTTCTACACTTCATATTCTGTAAGTCTATAAAAGGAATCAAATGGCACCATTTATTTCTGTTCAAGTTATTTCTCATATTTTAAGAGTGATTGCAGTCAGGTCAGGTGCTTGAAAGTTTAATGAATCTGAAGTTAGGTATATGCCAAACACTTTAGCAAGTTTACAGTATTTGGAATTTGAATTACAAAGTATGGATCTGAAATTTCAACTCAAAATTTCAGTGTTTCAATGCATTACTTCAGAGGGAGTTAGGCTGGGAATGTGCCTAACTTTCCAGTTGATCACTGAAATTTTGAACCAAAATTTTACTTTTGTGTTTTACCAAATGCTGTAGACTTCATGTAGTTTTAACAGATGCCTAACAACAAAATCCATATGTGCTATATTTAATAGCTCAGATTGTTAAATGGGAAATATATGGAAACCAAATATCATACCCAAATTTCTATTATTTAGAAAGTACTAACAGCTTGCAACATTCATATTTAAAGTGTTTGTTGAATTCTGAGAACAGTTCATGGAAGTTACTTCATTAAGGTTTGGCTAGTTGTCTCTTCCTAATAAGAAGGAAGGACTCACTGGAGAAGAGCCTAATGCTGGGAAAGATTGAGGGCAAAAGAAGAAGAGGACGACAGAGAATGAGGTGGCTGGATGGAGTCACCGAAGCAGTAGACCTCAGCTTAAATGGACTCCAGAGGATGGTAGAGGACAGGAAGGCCTGCAGGAATGTTGTCCATTGGGTCGCGATGGGTCGGACATGACTTCGCAACTAACAACAATAACAACAAAGTTGTCTCTTGGGTTCTAGAAATCCCTAATGAATTTTAAACATTCTAGGATCTTTTCTAAGAACAGAAATTAAAAATAACGATCTAGTGCATTCTGAAAGTGCAGTGTTGGTGGGTGTTCCCTATTCCCTAAAGATGGGAACCTTCTTGGAAGGATCATTTTTGCAGTGTTCATTGAAATAGTAACTCCTTGTCCTTTTCCAGGTTTGCAGTGCGAGGAGAAGGTTTCTGTGCTTACGTAGACGGAAAAGGAGCCAGTAGTACCATATGCTCCATGGAGAAACGTTTTCTCTGCAGCCGGCCAGAAAGTTGTAGCAAGCCTAGATAATGCAACCTCATCAAAAAGTTGAGCAGAGTTCTTTGGAGAAGCACATGTGTATATACTATCTCTTGTCACACCCAGATTTGCTAGTTGCTACCTGCGCTTTAGTTGTAAACCTGAGGATCCATCTTCAGATCCTAGATTAACAAAGCTGTTCTGTTCCTCACTTGGGTCTAGGACAGGTCGCTGTGACTGACTCTCCCCGGCCAACTTGCCACAGGACAATTCAATGCAAGATTAATTCAGGGGAGAGACAAGTAAATTGCAGCAGGCCTTGTCTTGCTTTAGGTTTGAAGCTTCTCAAGTTAGAAGTCATCGAGGCTGGGGTGAGCTGCATTTCTACTTGTCCCTCTCTTGAGTTATCCCGCGTTGAATTGTTCCACAGGAAGTTGTCCTGTGGCGAGTCAGCCGGGATGAGTCAGCTGCAATGAGACAGCCATGGTGAATTGGTTGGGGTGATTTATCCTATTTTACCCCCTGAATATATTATCGCTTCTGGGCAATTTCACTGTCCCCTGATATATCCATGTTACGGAACTGTTGTGGCCCAGCAGGAGCCGTTGGAGCTGCCGCCAGACTCCAACAGCGAGGGGCCTTATGAGTCGGCTCTGGAGGATGTGGAGGACCCTGGACAGGGTTCCGACTCCGAGCAGGGCGCAGAGAG